AAAATACAAAAATTAGCTGGGCATGGTGGTGCACGCCTGTAATCCCAGCTACTTGGGAGGCTGAGGCAGGAGAATCACTTGAACCCGGGAGGTGGAGGTTGCAGTGAACAGAGATCACACCATTGCACTCCAGCCTGGGCAACAAGAGCGAAATTCCGTCTCAAAAAAAAAATCGTTTTAGATAATAATTTAAAATACATCATAGTACATGAAATGATAAGCCATAAATTTAGAGAAGATATTTTAATATATAATGAATAAATGATTAGTATCCAAAATAAATTCCTACCAATTCATAAAACTAAGATAATCTCATAGAAAAATAGGCAAAAGACTTAAACAGATATTTTACATAACAGGAAACAAATGTGAGAAAGGAGCTTATGACCAGATGCTCAATTTCATTATCAGTCATGGAAATACAAAATAAAACCACAATGAAATATCATTCTATACCCACCAAACTGGTAAAAACTGAAAGTCTGACAATCTTAAATGTTAGGATGTGGAGCAACTGTGATGACCAACTACTCTTGATAACACTGTGCGTTGGTGCTGCCACTTTAGAAATAGAACACTCACATCTTATGACCCAGCAATTCCAATTCTAATTACATAACTAGAAAAACTCTTGTACGTGTGCATCAGGGTATATATACAAGAATGGTCATAGCTGTTGTTTATTTAAAAATTCTGGAAACAGCTGGGCGTGGTGGCTCACACCTGTAATCCCAGCACTTTGGGAGGCTGAGGCGGGCAGATCACTTGAGGTCAGGAGTTTGAGAAAAGCCTGGCCAACATGGTGAAATCCCGTTTCTACTATAAAAATACAAAAATTAGCTGGGCATGGTGGTGCACGCCTGTAATCCCAGCTACTTGGGAGGCTGAGGCAGGAGAATGCTTAAACCTGGGAGGCGAAAGTTGCAGTGAGCCAAGATTGTGCCACTGCACTCCAGCCTGGGTGACAGAGTGAGACTTCGTCTCAAAAAAATAAATAAAATTCTGGGATCATTTTACACACATTAGGATGGCTATGATTAAAAAATATATTTTTTTTTAATAAAAATACCAGAAAATGACAGGTGTTGGTGAGCATGCGGGGAAATTAGAACGCTTGTGCACTACTGGTGGGAATGTAGCATGTGCAGAGACTGTGGAAAACACACGGTGAATCCTCAAGTTAAACATAGAATTACCATATGATCCAGCAATTCCACTTCTGAGAATACACCCAAAATAACTGAAAGCAGGGGTCTGGTGTGGTGGCTCACGCCTGTAGTCCCAGAACTTTGGGAGGCCGAGTGTCTCAAGTGTTCATGTGAAGAGACCACCAAACAGGCTTTGTGTGAGCAATAAAGCTTTTTAATCACCTGGGTGCGGGCGGCTGGGTCCAAAAAGAGAGTCAGCAAAGGTTGGTGGGATTATCATTAGTTTTTACAGGTTTTGGGATAGGCGGTGGAGTTAGGAGAAACGTTTTGCAGGCAGGGAGTGGATCTCACAAAGTACATTCTCAAGGGTGGGGAGAATTACAAAGAACCTTCTTAAGGGTGTGGAAGATTACAAAGAACCTTCTTAAGGGTGGAGGAGATTACAAAGAACCTTCTTAAGGGTGGGGGAGAAACAAATCACAATGGTGGAATGTCATCAGTTAAGGCTGTTTTCACTTCTTTTGTGGATCTTCAGTTACTTCGGGCCATCTGGATGTACACGTGCAGGTCACAAGGGGATATGATGGCTTAGCTTGGGCTCAGAGGCCTGACACTGAGGCAGGTGGCTCACTTGAGGCCAGTAGTTCGAGACCAGCCTGGCCTGAACATGGTGAAACCCTATCTCTACTAAAAATACAAAAATTAGCCGGGTGTGGTGGTATGCACCTATAATCCCAGCTACTTGGGAGACTGAGGCAAGAGAATCGCTTGAACCTGAGAGGTGGAGGTTGCAGTGAGCCGAGACTGCGTCACTGCACTCCAGCCTGAGTGACGGAGCAAGACTGTTAAAAAAAAAAAAAAGAAGAAGAATTGAAAGCAGGGACTCAAACAGATATTTTATGCTGATGTTCATAGCAGCATTCTTCACAATAGCTAAAAAAGGTGGAAGCAACCCAAATGTCCATCAATGGATAAATAAATAAATAAACAAAATATGGTATATACATACAACAGAATATCTTTCAGCCTCAAAAGGGAAGGAAATTCTGACATATGCAACAACATGAATGAACCTTGCAGACATTATGCTAAGTGAAATAAGCTAGACTCACAAAAAGATAAATACTGTATCATTCCACTTATATGAGGTTCCTAAAGTCGTCAAATTCATAGAGACAGAAAGTAGAATGCTGCTTGCCAAAGGTTGCAGGGAGAGAGGAATGGAGAGTTATTGCTTAATGGGTGCAGAGTTTTAGTTTGGGAAGATGAAAAATTCTGGAGACGGATGGTGGTAATGGTTGCACAACAGTGTGAATGTACTTAATACCACTGAACTATACACTTAAAAATGGCTAAAATGAGGCTGGGGCTGGTCGCTCACAATTGTAATCCTGGCACTTTGGAAGTCTGAGGCAGGCGGATCACTCGAGGTCCGGAGTTTAAGACCAGCCTGGCCAACATGGAGAAATCCCATCTCTACTAAAAATACAAAAATTAGCCGGGCGTGGTGGCAGGCGCCTGTAGTCCCAGCTACTCGGAAGGCTGAGGCAGGAGAATCGATTGAACCTGGGAGGCAGAGGTTGCAGTGAGCTGAGGTTGCACCTCTGCATTCCAGTCTGGGAGACAAGAGAGAAACTCCATCTCCAAAAAAAAAAAAAAAAAAAAAAAGAAAGAAAGAAAGAAAGAAAAGAAATGCTAAAATGGTAAATGTTTATATACAGAGAGAGAGTATAGACATATATACACGTGTATACAACACATACACATGTATATGCTGTATGTACATGTGTATATCACAATAGAAAAATACTAATAATCATTTAACTTAATAAAATGTTTTAAAGATTAAAAAAAAAATTCCTGGAAACTACCCACGTGTGTATCAGCAGGAGCAGAGGTAGAGTGCAGTGTGTTCATACAGTGTATTCTTGTACAGCAATGACAATGAATGATCTAAACCTACACCGTCAACATGGGCAAATCGCACAAACATAATACATGAAAAGGGCAAATTGCAAAAGAATGCAATCCAATTATATATAAAGGTCAAAAACATTACATCATTTTGGGACTCTATCTATCTATCTATCTATCTATCTATCTATCTAATCTATCTATTTATCTATCTACAGTAAAACTATATAAAGAAAAGCAAAGGGGCCAGGTATGGTGGCTCACATCTGTAATCCCAGCACTTTGGGAGGCCGAGGTGGGAGGATTGCTTGAGTTCAGGAGTGTGAGACCAGCCTGGGAAACATGGTGAAACTCTGTCTCTATAATAAATAAAAAATTAGCCAGGCATGGTGGCTCGTGCCTGTAGTCCCAGCTACTCAGGAGGCTGAGGAAGGAGGATTGCTTGAGCAAGGCAGCAGAGCAAGACCTTGTCTTTTTTTTTTTTTTTTTTTTGAGACGGAGTCTCGCTCTGTCACCCAGGCTGGAGTGCAGTGGCCGGATCTCAGCTCACTGCAAGCTCCGCCTCCCGGGTTTACGCCATTCTCCGGCCTCAGCCTCCCGAGTAGCTGGGACTACAGGCGCCCGCCACCTCGCCCGGCTAGTTTTTTGTATTTCTTAATAGAAGACGGGGTTTCACCGTGTTCTCCAGGATGGTCTCGATCTCCTGACCTCGTGATCCGCCCGTCTCGGCCTCCCAAAGTGCTGGGATTACAGGCTTGAGCCACCGCGCCCGGCCGACCTTGTCTTAAAAAAAAAAAAAAAAAAAAGAGTGATTCGCACAAATTCAAGATGGTGACTACTCAGGGTGGGTAGGAAGAGGCGCATGATCAGAGTGGGGCGTGAGAGGGTTTCTTGGATATTGATGATGGTCTATTATTTCTTAAGCTGGGTGATGGATACACGGGTATTCATTCTATATTTATTCTTTAATTTATACATACATGTTACATACACTTTTTGGTATCTGAATGATAACACATAATTATTTTTAAATGCTATATATAGAAAAAAGCCTGGAAGAATTCTAAATATAATGGTGTCTCAGTGGTGGGACTTTCTTTTTAGTTTATACTTTTTGTGTTTTTAAAATAGTCTTTTGTACTTTTATAATGAAAAAAAGTTGCCGGGCGCGGTGGCTCAAGCCTGTAATCCCAGCACTTTGGGAGGCCGAGGCGGGCGGATCACAAGGTCAGGAGATCGAGACCACAGTGAAACCCCGTCTCTACTAAAAATACAAAAAATTAGCCGGGCGCGGTGGCGGGCGCCTGTAGTCCCAGCTACTCGGGAGGCTGAGGCAGGAGAATGGCGGGAACCCGGGAGGCGGAGCTTGCAGTGAGCCGAGATCGGGCCACTGCACTCCAGCCTGGGCAACAGCGTGAGACTCCGTCTCAAAAAAAAAAAAAAAAAAAAAAAAAAAAAAAAAAAAAAAAGCATTAAATTACAATAAGAAAAAAAGAAACAAAGAGAGTATTCCCCTCAAATTTGTTCAGAGAAAAGGGAAGTGAGAGAAGACGGGTGAAAGCTCTGGGCTTCCCCCAATGCTACTAGCAATAAAAGATGACATTGGAATTTTGAGGCTAAATGCTACTTAGGAGATAATGAGTTTTAACCGTTATCTTGGGGAGGGAAATGTTCCTCCGAAAAGCAAATTCCCTGGTCCCTTTTCTCAGAAATTCCCTGCCAGTTTCAAGAGTGGGCAGAGAGTTTTGATGTCCTTTGGAAACAAGGGGATGTAACCAAGGAGATAAAGCCACGGGACCCAGCCAGTCCTTGATCGGACTGATTTCAAATGAAAATCTTGACACAAATCCCCTTTCAACAGCCTACAGAGCAGATGAAAGAGATAAAAAAAGGAAATAATGGAGCTAATTGAAATTGTAGAGCTGGGAGATGGCTTGAGAATATATGGCCCAACACAGGTAACATCCTTCTGCCTAGTGCGATGGCCTTTTGGCTAAATTTGATTCAGGACATCTTCGGTTTCTCTTCTTAGTACTACCATCTTATGTACCTAGTCTCTTTCCCCTCATTACTCCCAACACAAGATAACAAACTCAACCATTCTCTCTCTTGAGGCATCTGTGTGCCCCACAAACACGGATGCAGCACCCACCAGGTCTGCAAACCTTGTTCGGCACCTAGAGACACAGGTGAATGAGACAGTGACTGTCCCTTCAAGGAGCTACCCCCTCAAGGTTGGGAGGCAGATACAATGACCATTAGAATGGAATGTACAAGACATTGTGGACCATGGGGAAGGGACTAACCCAGCCTGTGGTAATAGGGAGAGCAACCAAAAGGAGATGGCCCTTGTATGAAGTCATAAAGGATGAGCTGCAATAAGCCAGGCAAAGAGGGGTGAAGGTGAGTTCTTCCAGGCAAAGAGGACTACATGAGCAAAGACACGGAGGAGAAAAACGGCATGGCACGAAGGGAACCACAAGTACTGTAGTTTCTTTCTTTCTGGGAAGGTGACCGTGTGGCAGAGCCTGGCCAGGGGAGGGTGGAGAAAGTAACGGGAGCCATGTCTAGAAGATCCTTTCTCACCAGGTAGAGGGACTTAGACTCTGTTTCTTGGGCACTGGGGAGCCATGGAGGTATTTTAACAGGGAAGTGAGGTGGTCAATGAGTTCTTTGCGTTATGACCGGTCTTCTATTTAAATGGCCCTCTTGATGATGTCAGGGAATCAAAAAAAAAAAAAAGAAAGAAACTATAGGCAGATTAGGTGGAGGACAGATTCATGCTAAACCTGGAGAGACAAATCCTTGTCTGAATCCTGCCTCACTACTCACCAGCTGTGGTGAGTCACTTAAACATTCACTGAGCCTCTGCTCATCTGCAAAGTGGAGGCGGTGTGGGAGCAGCCAATGGAATGTTCCATGTGGAAGGCCTTGGCATATAGGGGATGGGTAGGTTTGTACTCACCTGATCTCCCAGATATATTGTTAACCCAGAAGTTAGGTGGCTGGATAATATGCACAATATCATTAAACTTAAAAGTCTAATGAAGCAAAACACACATGTATGTAAAATGCAGAGAAAAAAGTCAGAAGGAGTCACACCAAATTGAAAATAGGTGTTGCCGCTGGAGAGGTGGAAGGAAGCCAAGATTGGAACTGGAGATCAAAGGGAGATTTAGCCTCATCTGTAGCTTTCATTTGTACAAGGAAAATGTATTCCTACATCACTTTACTTGTGTCCTTAAAAATTAATTTTTAAAGACTGGGCGCAGTGGCTCACACCTGTAATTCCAGCACTCGGGATCACAAGGTCAAGAGATAGAGACCAGCCTGACCAACATGGTGAAACCCCGTCTCTACTAAAAATACAAAAATTAGCTGAGCGTGATGGTGCGCACCTGTAGTCCCAGCTACTCAGGAGGCTGAGGCAGGAGAATCGCTTGAACCTGGGAGGCGGAGGTTGCAGTGAGCCGAGATCGTGCACTCCAGCCTGGGCAACAGAGTGAGACTCTGCCTCAAAAAAAAAAAAAAGAAAAAAAAATTTTTTAAATAACCTAACCAAAGCCCTTGACAGAGAAAGAGTAGGTGTCCAGTCAGTGTTATCGCCTTTCCTGTCACTTACACAGTAAGGGTCTTTCCAGTTCCACTGCCTAATTTACCCTCATTCCAACTTCAGTTCAAGGCCAAGAGTTATTTCTGGCCCATCATGGTCACTCAATAAATATTCGTAGAAGACCTTCTCTGAAGAGGTCAGTTGATCTCTTGCAAGTGAATTGAAGATTGTCTTGGCAGAACCATAAGCCCAAGGCTTTGATACCCTGGAGACCACAGAGGAACTGAACTAGTCCTCAGCAGCCATCCTGAGCCATACTGAGTAGCTGCCATCCCTCTGGCCTTCTGGTAGACCCTGAACTCCCTGGGAATCGTCCACTCTTGTTCCTTTCAGGATTCAGAGCTCCTGGCTGGGAAGACACAGTCATCTCTGCCTCCATTGCCTTCCCAAAGAAAGGCCAAGATTATCCCTGGCACACCAAAGAGCCCAGTCTAATAAAGGAAACCAGCATGGGTGATAAGCACCTATATATGGAAGGAGAGAGTTCCTGTCCTGCTCACTGAAGTGTCGTCAACTTGCTGATGAATGAATGAGTGAACAACTGCTAATCCTCACAGGTCCCGGCTCTACAGTGGTGGCCTTTGCACCAGGGGAGGAGGGGGATGCCAGAGGGATTTCACTTCCTGCTTAGGGATGCTTTTTCTTTTTGTTCTTTTTTTTCCTGAGACAGGTCAAAAATCCTCTGTCACCCATGCTGAAGTACAATGGCACGATCACGGCTCACTGCAGCCTCGACCTCCAGGGCTCAATCAATCCTCCCACCTCAAGTCTCCTGAGTAGCTGGGACTACAGATGCATGCTACCACACCCAGCTAATTTTTGTAATTTTTGTAGAGATGTGGTTTTACCAAGCGTCACAGGCTGGTCTCAAACTACTGACCTCAAGTGATTGGCCCACCTCAGCCTCCTAAAGTACTGAGATTACAGGAATGACCCACCACACTTGCCTTCGTTTTTCCTGTTTGAAAAAAAAAATGTTTAAATGTTACTTTTTATTTTTTATTTAGTTTTATTTAGGTCTCTTTTTTTGAGAGAGAGAGTCACACTCCATCACCCAGGCTAGTGTGCAGTGTGGTACACACTCGCATCACCCAGGCTACAGTGCAGCGGCACACACTGCATCACCCAGGCTAGAGTGCAGCAGCACACACTGCATCACCCAGGCTAGAGTGCAGCGGCACACACTGCATCACCCAGGCTAGAGTGCAGCGGCACACACTGCATCACCCAGGCTAGAGTGCAGCGGCACACACTCCATCACCCAGGCTAGAGTGCAGCGGCACACACTGCATCACCCAGGCTAGAGTGCAGCGGCACACACTGCATCACCCAGGCTAGAGTGCAGCGGCACACACTCCATCACCCAGGCTAGAGTGCAGCGGCACACACTGCATCACCCAGGCTAGAGTGCAGCGGCACACACTCCATCACCCAGGCTAGAGTGCAGCGGTACACACTCCATCACCCAGGCTAGAGTGCAGCGGCAAACACTGCATCACCCAGGCTAGAGTGCAGCGGTACACACTCCATCACCCAGGCTAGAGTGCAGCGGCACACACTCCATCACCCAGGCTAGAGTGCAGCGGCACACACTCCATCACCCAGGCTAGAGTGCAGCGGTACACACTCCATCACCCAGGCTAGAGTGCAGCGGTACACACTCCATCACCCAGGCTAGAGTGCAGTGGCAAACACTGCATCACCCAGGCTAGAGTGCAGCGGCAAACACTCCATCACCCAGGCTAGAGTGCAGCGGCACACACTGCATCACCCAGGCTAGAGTGCAGCGGCACACACTCCATCACCCAGGCTAGAGTGCAGCGGCAAACACTCCATCACCCAGGCTAGAGTGCAGCGGCACACACTGCATCACCCAGGCTAGAGTGCAGCGGCAAACACTCCATCACCCAGGCTAGAGTGCAGCGGCACACACTGCATCACCCAGGCTAGAGTGCAGCGGCAAACACTCCATCACCCAGGCTAGAGTGCAGCGGCAAACACTCCATCACCCAGGCTAGAGTGCAGCGGCACACACTCCATCACCCAGGCTAGAGTGCAGCGGCACACACTGCATCACCCAGGCTAGAGTGCAGCGGCACACACTCCATCACCCAGGCTAGAGTGCAGCGGTACACACTCCATCACCCAGGCTAGAGTGCAGCAGCAAACACTGCATCACCCAGGCTAGAGTGCAGCAGTACACACTCCATCACCCAGGCTAGAGTGCAGCGGCACGCACTCCATCACCCAGGCTAGAGTGCAGCGGCACACACTCCATCACCCAGGCTAGAGTGCAGCGGCACACACTCCATCACCCAGGCTAGAGTGCAGCGGTACACACTCCATCACCCAGGCTAGAGTGCAGCGGTACACACTCCATCACCCAGGCTAGAGTGCAGTGGCAAACACTGCATCACCCAGGCTAGAGTGCAGTGGCAAACACTGCATCACCCAGGCTAGAGTGCAGTGGCAAACACTCCATCACCCAGGCTAGAGTGCAGTGGCAAACACTGCATCACCCAGGCTAGAGTGCAGTGGCAAACACTGCATCACCCAGGCTAGAGTGCAGTGGCACACACTGCATCACCCAGGCTAGAGTGCAGTGGCACACACTGCATCACCCAGGCTAGAGTGCAGTGGCACGATCTCAGATCACTGCAACCTTCATCTCTTGGGCTCAAGTGATCAGCCCACCTCAGCCTCCTGAGTAGCTAAGATTACAGGCACCACGCTAGGTTAATTTTTGTATTTTTAGTAGAGATGGGGTTTCACCATGTTGGCCAGACTTGTCTTAAACTCCCAGCCTCAAGTGATCCACCCACCTCGGCGTTCTGAAGTGCTGGAATTATAAGCATCAGCCACCACAACTGGCCTTATGTTACTTTTTAAATTAAATACATAGTATTCCTTTGATTGGATGAGACTGGGTGCATTCAGGGTAGATAGAGTATGGTATCCAGTGGAAGTATACGGGGTAGATAGAGTATGGTATGGCCATAAACCATTCTTTTAATTAATTAGTTGATGCAAACAAAAAATAAATTTTACAAATGGAAATTCTATTTTGATAACTCTGATTTAGGCCAAATGAGGGTTCTTGGTGAATATATGATTTGGGGGCTTATAGCAGAAAGAACAATGATCATTTGATGATTCTAAATATGAACAATGGTGGTATTACTTTTCTGGAGAGGAGGATACAGTTGATGTCTGTATCCTGCCCACGTAACTCCTACAGCACTCCTTGAGGCTTGGGTGAGGATTTACTGAATTTAATTCACATGGGAAGCCAAGTCCAGGGTCTGCTAAAAATGTAGCTGTTTTGTATAGGAGGGGAAAAAGTGAAGGAAGATGGGATGAAGCCACAGAGCAAGGAGAGGCCTCGGTTGCTGTCCTGACCAGTCCCCTCACTTCACCAACAAGACCATGAAACCCAGACAGGGGATGTGACTTGAGATCCAGCCAGAGTCAGATCCAGAGTTGGGAGGGCGGGGGTGCTACAATATGATCACAGAATCAACACTTGGTCCCTCCCAGCTACCTGGCAAAGTGGGCACTAACTCCATTCTGCAGAGGTGGAAACTGAGGCCAGTGTGGGGAATGGAAATTGACTGGGCTAAGCTTAGAAGCCTGAACTCTGACCCCAAAGCTCTCTCTTGTACCCTTGACCCCTTATCTTGTCCTGCAGCTCTTAAGGTTACAGTGAGCCAGTTTTTCATTTTGCTTTTCTCCAACTGAGGCACCTTGGAAAATGGGGATCTGGCTGGAGCCACCTGGAACACTTGATGATTGGGCTTATTTATATTTGTAATTATCTATAGGGTGATAAGCACTTACATGCGGAAGGAGAGAGTTCCTGTCCTGCTCACTGAAGTGTCATCAACTTGCTAATGAATGAATGAGTGAACAGCTGCTAATCCTCACAGATCCCGGCTCTACCGAGGAAGAGGCTGAGGCTCAGGGAGGTGCAGTGACTTGCTTCAGAGACACAGGAATCATGCCAGGAATCGTCAGGCCTCCTTTTTTTCTCAGACAAGAAAGATTGTTTCTGTTTCCTCCTCCGTCATGCTGGGCTTGTAAACCAGCCAGTCACCGGCCCTCCCTGAGGAAGCGCAGCACAGTCACCAGCCAGGAGAACAGACCCACCTGCCCCGGGACGTCAGCACTGCCCACACACGGTGCCACCCACGCACTATGACACACGCTCACATTTGGGCCCCAGACTCCCCAGGTCCAACCAAGGAGCGGGAATGGCAGAGGAGCACGCCGCGGTGGGGCAGGCACTGAACCCCGCTGGGGAATGGAGGGGGAAACGGTGAGACAGGCCCCACCCAGCCCCAACTGTCAGACGACGGAAGAAGGGGTGCAGGTGGGCTCCGGGTTGAAGAGGAAGAAGGTGAGCCAGCAGAGCCGTCACGGCAGCCTGCCAAACCGACTGCTGAGGCAGAGTTAGCGCTGGCTAGATGAGACGCTTCACACTTCACGGCTCCTGAAAAGTGTAGAGAAAATGCCCGCACCCTACATAGACTAGAGGGCCACTATCTGCTTGAAACAAATGGCCCCTTCCTGGACATCCTTTGTTCCCCTTTAGGGACAAAATGCTACTACCTTCACTTACACCCTCCCTGGAGATCCCCCAAAGGAGGAGGATGAGGGAAGCTGCCCTTGGTGGAGTCTATGCTATGTGCCTGACTCTGTGCCAAGCTCCTCCACCAAGTCAGGTGACATGATGATATGGGCACTACTAACCCTGGTTTCCCAGTGGGCAAACTGAGGCACAGAGTGGATCAGTAACTTGCCCCGAGTCACACAGGCTGGTAAACAGGGGAGCCAGGATGGCACTGAAATGCAGGTCTAGCTCAGTCCAAAGCACATCGCGGCAAGGGTCTCGCAGAGCAGGGGTCCCAGGAATGGTTACTGTGTCAGGCAGAAAAGGGCCAGGTAAGCAAGTCTCCAGCAAGAGCCAAGACTGCACTGTACCTTGCCAAGGGCATTAGATGCTTCCAGATTTATCTGGTTTCAATGACAGAGTGAGAACTCATGAAGGAAGGATAAGGTGGGGCTCAGAAAATGAGGGTCCAAAGAACTGAGATCTCATGGGCATTGAAAATGTTAGAAAGTTGTCTCCCAGGGGCTGGTGACAAAGTGGGTTTTGACGTAACTATGGGGGAGCATCTGAGCACGTCATATAAAACGGAAACACTACCCACACACTTATTTGCTCATGTGTGCACACACTTATAGGTGTGCACTCACACGCACATATGCATATGTATCCTCCCACTGGGTGTGCATGTGTGTGGCATGCAGAGGTTGGTGCTGGAGCAAGAGGGGAACACATATCTACCGTCTGTATTCCTGTTACTAATGAGCACCTACTGTGTACATGGAGCTTTGCCAGACACAGGTAGTCCAAACAGGAGTCACTGTGATTCCCGGCTCCGAGGTGGACTATATGTACAGGCACGAAGAGTTAGCTCTTCAGACTTCTCATCACTCTCCAAAGGCCTTGGATTGGTAGGTCGCTTTGTAGCTTCCAAAGCACTTCTATATATGTTCACTGTCAGTGAAAGGAAGAGCCCAGCATGGTGAATGTGGGAGAAAATGTGAAAAATGCCCCGAGCATCAGCACTACGGATGAGTCTTGCCTGAATCAATTACTGGGATGAGTACCAAGTGGTTTTCCAATTCCATCATTCCTTCTATGTCTATTTAGCTGGCATCCTACTGCAAGGGAGAGCTCCCCCTTCTCCCCTATGTAGTGATCCACTTGTTTATATTTGTATAAACCCAGATTCTTATTTTATTTATTTTATCCGTGATCATCATTATTGGTTTTGATGTTGAAATTGTCACAGATTGGCCCGTATATGGCCAGTGGGAGCTCCTTCAAGCTGGCTTCATGTCCTTTCACATGCACGTGACCATTATACCTTGAGCATGTCCTTACTTCTGACCTGAAAAGATGCTCCAGACTCATCTGGCACGTCCCCCCGGCCCAGCCGAAGAATCAGCTCCAGGCTGAGTAGCCTTTATCTGACATGCTTGGGACCAGAAGTGTTTTGGATTTGGGATTGCTTTTTCAGATTTTGTAATATTATTTGCACATACATAATTAGATATTTTGGCGATGGGATCCAAGTCCAAACATTAAATTCATTCATGTATTATACACATCATATATACATAGGCTGAATAAAATTTTACACAATATTTTAAATAATTTGAGGATTTTGTTTGTTTTTAGTTTTTGTTGTTGTTGTCGTATTTTATTTGTTTATTTATTTATTTATTTTTGAGATGGAGTTTTGCTCTTGTTGCCCAGGCTGGAGTGCAATGGCGTGATCTCGGCTCATTGCAACCTCCGCTTCCTGTGTTCAAGCGATTCTCCTGCCTCAGCCTCCCGAGTAGCTGGGATTACAGTCATGAGCCACCATGCCGGGCTTGTTGTTTTTTGAGACAGTGTCTCACTCTGTTAACCAGACTGGAGTGCAGTGGCATGATCTCTGCTCACTGCAACCTCTGCCTCCCGGATTCAAGGGATTCTCAAGCCTCAGCCTCCTGAGTAGCTGGGATTACAGGCATGCACCACCACGCCTGGCTAATTTTGTATTTTTAGTAGAGATGGGGTTTTACTGTGCTGGCTAGGTTGGTCTCAAACTCTTGGCCTCAAGTGATCCTCATCTCTTGCCAGGCAGGATTCACCTGCGTTGGCTTCCCATGATGCTGGAATTACAGGCATGAGCCAGTGTGCCTGGCCAGAAACACAATGTTTTTTGTTTTTAAATGGAGTCTCGCTCTGTTGCCCAGGCTGGAGTGCAGTGGCGCGATCTGGGCTCACTGCAAGCTCCGCTTCCCGGGTTCACGCCATTCTTCTGCCTCAGCCTCCCGAGTAGCTGGAACCACAGGCGCCTACTGCCACGCCCAGCTAATTATTTTGTATTTGTAATAGAGACAGGGTTTTACTGTGTTAACCAGGATGGTCTTGACCTCCTGACCCCGTGATCCACCCGCCTCGGCCTCCCAAAGTGCTGGGATTACAGGCGTGAGCCACCGCGCCCGGCAGAAACAAAGTTTTGACCACATCTTGACTACAAGCCATCTCATGAAGTCAGGTGCGGAGTTTTCCACTTGTGGCATCACATCAGTGCTCGAAAAGTTTCAGATTTTGGAGCATTTTTTATTTCAAACTTTCAGATTGGGGATGCTCAACCTGTGCTTCTCCATCTAGTGCTTCCTAGATGACAGAGCTAAGAAGATATATGCATATTCACACAAACACTTTTCTCCATCTAATCTATCACCTGTCTATGCACATAGTAAAATCCACAAGTTCACACCAATACCTCCAATTCCAATACAAAACAACAAGGCCTCTTCTAGTCTTCCTTTTTTCCGTATTTGCAATTTCCATCTCCAAAGCAAGAACCTGATTCCCACCATCCCCAACACATAAACTTAATTGTTCAATGCTCCAGTATGTAGCAATCTCCCATTAACACAGGCCTCTTCTTTGGCCCTGGCCTTGCTGGACGTGGGGGCCACACAAGCCAAGTTCCTGCTGGCCCAGGTATCACTTCACTCTGATTTACATTCATCCCTTCAATAAATCTTTACCGATTACCTACTGTGTATGTGCCAGTCACTATTCTAGATTCTGGGAACCAAACATGTACTAAAAAATCCCTATCATCATGAAGCCGAGGTTCTAATGGGGAACAGAGACAACACGCAAAACAGGTAGATGAGAAATAAATGAGTGGAATTGTATGTTAGAAGGTGACGGATGCTATGAAAAAAATAAGAGTAGGGTGAAGGGGGATCAGGAGTATTGGGGAGGTATGTAACTTAAAATAAAGGGCCAGGAAAGCCTCCCTGGAAAGATGTTTGAGCAAAGATTTGAAGAGGAGGGGGCTGGACAAGCAGCCACTGGGGGAGAGAAGCAGTGTAAAGACCAGGGGCAGAAGCATCCCTGCTGGCTTAAGGTGTGAAAAGCCACTGCAACTAGAGCCGAGTGAGCAAGGGGAGGGGACCAGGAAAGGAGGTCAGAAGCACACTGAGGCAGACTCTGCAGACTGCAGGCCATCGTCAGGACTTGCCGTTTATTCTCAGGAAGACAGGAGCCTCTGGCATGTTCTGAGCAGAGGAGATACATGGTCTGACTTCGGATAAAAGGTCTGTTCTGGCTGCGATGTTGGGAACAGGCTGCAGGTGACAAGACTGAACACAGGAAACCAGATGAATAGCAGTGCCTGACCCAGGTGATCTAAGCCATATGATGATGGCTTAGATCAGGACAGCAGTCACGTGAGGTGGTTAAAAGGGCTGATTCTGGATCTGAATTTTGAAAGCCAAGGAGACTGACATCAGAGTCAGGGTCTGTCACAATTTGATGACCCTGGTAAACCTCCCTAGCTTGGGCTGTGACCCTGAAGGGGCTGTACCCTAGAAGTAGGGGTAAAATAAAAGCAAACTAGCCCTGAGCTTCAGGTCGTGTGGGTGACCTAGTAAATTTCAACCTCTGAACTTGAAATAAGGTGATCCTAGAATGCTGATTTGCCCCAGGTGCCTGGAGAAAGGGAATAAAAAAAAAATCATCCCAGGCCTGAAATTATTTTTATAAATATTTTTCCAAACACAGTTTTTTTTTGTTTTTTTTTTTGTTTTTTTTTTTGTTTTTTTTAGCACATAATCAAAGACAACTAGATTTCATGAGGGGAAAAAGACACCATGAATAGTAACAAGCAGAAATGGACCTCAGGGACTCCAGACTTGGAAATCATCAGACACTGATTATAATATAATTATGCCTCGTATGTTTAAGGAGGTTAAAAGTCATGCCTGAAAATTCTGTAAGGAGACTGGAAACCATACAAAGTAACTGTGTCAGTCATGTTCTGTCCTGAACATGATGGCATAATCTAGGTGGCTGGAGGGGAGTTTAACTAAGGGATGCCTTTATTTTTATTTTCATCTTTTTTTGAGACAGGCTCTCACTCAGTCACCCAGGTTGGAGTGAAGTTGCATGATCTTGGCTCACTGCAACCTCCACCTCCCAGGTTCAAGCCATTCTCGTGCCTCAGCCCCCCAAGTAGCTGGGATTACAGGCATGTGCCACCAGGCCCAGCTAATTTTTGTATTTTTAGTAGAGACAAAGTTTTACCATGTCGGCCAGGCTGGTCTCAAACTCCTGACCTCAGGTAATCCACCCACCTTGGCCTCCTAAAGTACTGGGATTACAGGCATGAGCCTGTAATTTAGATTTATGCTTCCAAATTTATGCACCTGGTCAGATGCTTTTAACAGAATGAAAAGAGTATAGGGAAACTACAAGAGATACTCTAGGGCTAGTACCCTGGAGTAAGTAACAGTGGAGTGCTATTACTATCCCAAGGCCTGAAAGGGCAAGGAGAGGAAGTGGTTACTGGAACTAAGAAGAGTGGACCTAGGTGAAGAGTACCGCCTAATAGAAATTATGATGTTCACTGAGGGACACAATCAACCTGGATGACCACTCAGGGCAGAAGCTGGGCAAATACATACCAAAACTTCATTCTTCTCCTTCCTTCCAATCTACTGCAGGTACTCCTCACAGGCCATAATCAGTCAGAAGCCAAAAATAAGGAGCCATCAAAACAGGTCAACCTCCCAGCACACAGAAAAGGGTGAAGAAGCAGAGTTATTCTGGAGAGACAAATATTTGAAAAAGAAGCAAACGCAAATTCCAAAACTGGAAAATACAATGATAAAATTAATCATTCAATGGTCAGGTTTAATAGCAGATTCAACGCAACCAAAGAGAGAATTAGTAAACTAGAAAACACATCAGAAGAAGGTATGTAAAATGAACAGAGAATAAAAGCAAGACAAGAGAAGAGAGATAACAGGGCAAAGTTAATATTCACAAATAAGTAGTTGGTAATTTTCCAGGACATTGAAAAAACGTCAATCCACAGATTCAATAAGTCCAATGAACCTCAAGTCAACACTCATACTCATTATAGTGACTCTGTAGAGACAGAGAGGAGTCAGGGATGATGGTAAGGACAACAGACAAATGGAAGTTAATGGAGTTGCCCTTGACTGAGATGAGGAGACTGAGAGGAAGGAAAATTTGGGAAATTTGAGGAATTGTCTACCTGACCCCTGTAAGCCCTTGTGTTTGAGCCCCCTAGTGCCTGGATCTTCTAAGTAGTTCTACTGCCTCCAGACCCATTCCCCACTCCCACTGACCTGGGCCTACTCCCCATCTCTTCTGAGAAGATTGTAGCAACCTCCTCCTTGGCCTCCCACTCCAGTCCGTTCTTCACATTGGCTGCCAGAGTTATGCTTCTAAAAATGGCAAACTGTTGGTGGTGTGATGTGGCCTAATTGTGGGTGATGTACTTTCCCTACTGCTCTGGTTTCTACAAAGAAGGATCTCCCCTCAAAACCCTGGGCTCCCCTCAAACCCTACCAGGTAAGATGGGTGAATTCTGACTGGTGAGTGTGGGACTGGAGTCTGAGACAGTGGTGCCTCAGCCTTTCCTTTCTTCTTTCTTTTGGGAGAAGACCACCTGTAGGGAGCTGCATTTTGCTCTCCCCTCCCCAAGAAGGCCTGTACTTTTTCTTTGCGTTTTGTGCCTCCTGTGTGGGTCTGTCTGCCAAATTCTGAGATTCACCATTAGGAAGCCCTCTGCAGATAGAAATCACATTTGTTCAGAGCATTGGCAGAAAATAGAAACTACATTGGGTTCCCCAAAACCCCGAAACCAAAATATTACAATACATCCTAACTTAAAATGCTTCAGGGCCCCTAACTGCCTACTAAAGAAAGTTCACGTTTTTAACACAGCCCTGAAAGTCCTTCACCATCCAGCCCCCATCTACCTACCTCTCCAGCTTGATATTAGCCCAGGCTGTATCCATGCTGTCCTCTCTCCCACCACTCATGTTATTTGAATCCTTACCCAGTATGTAGCCAGTCCTTTGAAGACTACTTTATAAAAGGAACTCTCTTTCCTCACTCACACTGGGGAAGCCATATCATGAGCAGCATTATGGAGAGGTCCATGTGAGAAGGACTGAAGCCTCCGGCCAACAGCCAAGTGAATGAGCGTCTATCCCCCAGCTCCAGTCATCTGCAGGGTCTGTAGCCTTGACCATGCCAGAACCACCCAACTAAGCCACTCTTGGATTCTTGATCCTCAGACATGGGGCCTTAATCAATTTATGCCATGGTTT